GTCTCAGACAATTTAATATCAGTAAAATAAAATGCATCTAAAGGGCATTGCCAAAATTACCAATTTCTTGCAGAGCAATAAGGGTGTATGGTGGCTGTTACAGTCCACAGGGCAGAGATAATGATATAAACACAGATATTTGCTGATAATTCCTGAAGAAACTATTGTTTTGGAGCTTAATTTTTTTTTTTTTTGTAGTTTTGTAACACATTGATAATTACTTTTAAGATCTTACAGCAATTCTGCAATACTCCTTTGAAGCAAAAGGCAAACAAATGAGAGAATACATTTCATGTTGTATAGAATATTGAGTGAAATTCAATACATTACATTAAAAGTGATTGAATCACAGTAAATTAAGATAACTTTATGTACCTGGATAATTATACTGATAAAAATATTAATAAAGAATAGTGGTCTTTTATAAATGTCAGGACTTCTTCAAGACGTTTTACTTATATTTAATGATTGAATTCATACAGAAACACTAAATTGTGGTATAATTCTTAACTATTTTAGTGCAGCAAAATGTGACACAGGATGAACTTGAATGACGTTGTCACACAGCTAACGCTGGCACTATAATTCAATTCCATTGCATTAGAAAATACTGTTCTATAACCATGAACTTGGTAACACAGTGTTTAAGTGTTCTACTGGTTCATACCCACCAGCTGCTCCACAGGAGAAAGGTGTTGCGATATGCTTCTGAAGATTTTCAGCTCTGAGAATGCTGTGGTTCTAACTCTGTCTAATTCTGTCCTTTCTACATGTTTGCTAGTAGTCAAGATGATCTCCTCAGCAATGTGGTTTTATTTCTTTTTACCATGTCACCATGCTTCTACTCTGCTTAGTGGGCAAAGTGCAAATACATAATAAAGAAATGAAAAGCAGGGAGAGGTAAGAGACACTTTGGAAGCATTGGCTTTCAGGATTGTGTAAATTCAGGGATGCCCCTGAATGCCTCCTTAAATTTTGTACCTTAGGAGCCTCTCTAAGCACTCCTTATCACTGCCTTTGATGAAAGGGAATGCTGGGGGAAATAATTGCCATACAAGGAACGAAAAACATTTTATCAAATATTTGTTTTACTAGACCGTGTGTTAAATCCTAAAACTGCAGGTGTGATGCTGTAGGAATAGCACTGGACATCAAGGTCAGTGTGAACATCAAGGTTAACGCTTCAAACTCAACAGCTGCTCCTCAGAAACTCTATATAGAGCCGCTCTGAATCGGCACAGAATAGACGGCACTTAACATCAACAACATCATATCATAATTATAATGACGTTGTTGTTAAGTGCCGTGCAGTTAGTTCTGACTCATAACGATTCTGTATAGGATTTCTAAGGTTGGGCTTGTGGGTTTGAACCTTCGACCTTGTGTCAGCAACCTAGGGCTTATTCTATAGCGCCAAACCAGGACTCATGTAATTATAACAATCTTGTTAAAATGCCATGGAGCCCTTTCCATTTCAAAGTGACCCTGTTTGGGGTTTCCGAGGAGCTGCTGGTGAATACTAACTGCTGATCTTCAGGTTCAAACTGACCTTGTGGTCCATGGAATCATAATTAACAAGTAATCAAGTTAAAAGTGTAAAGTAGGTGATATAGTTTACTAATATCGTTATATTTCATTCTCCCAAAGAAGTCAACCTTAGAAACTTAAATAATTGCTCAATATTATACAGATGGAGTCCTGGGGTGGCTCTTTTGGTAAATGTGCTGGATTGCAAAGTCTGGGTTAACCACCAGATGCGCGGTTTAAGCTCAGCAGCTTCTCCTTGAAATTCTATACAGGGTCGCTATGAGTCCGACCCTGCTCATTGGCACTAAAAACAGCAACAACAGATAGTAAATAACGGAGAGAGAAGTAAAACTCAAATTCATTAAAAAAAACAAACAAAAAAAACTCATTTATAGTCATAAAACCTATGTAAAATTTGTTGAACTTTCCACACTTAGTAAATCCTAATATCCTTACATGTAAAAAAAAGTGAGTTTAGAAACAGTTATATGGTTGTTATTTTTCAATGATTAAGAAAAATGATTTTGAGTTCACACATACATTGGATGTAACATCACAGCTAATATTCTTCCTCCTGTCCCCCACCCCCATTCCATTGACATAGGTATCATACACTCTGTGTTAGCCCTCTTTCCCAGGGTGAATAAACTTATAGTATATATCTGAATCAATGTTCCAGCTTAATTTTTCTGAGTAAAATTTACTTATTTAAATTTTTTTTAATTTACATATTTTATCACTCATTTTGTTTTGATCCATAATCAACAATCATGGAAGCAGCAGTCAGTAATACAAACAACTTATTGCACTTCTGTTTCAAAGACCTGTCTAAAATGTTGAAAAAGAAAGAAATCAATTTATGGGCTAAGGTTGGCCTAACTTCAACCACGGTATTTTCTGTTGCTTCATATATATGTATAATTTGGACAATGAATAAGGAAGACTATAGAAGAATAAATGTATTTGAATTATGGTGTTGGAAAAAAATATTGAAAGCGCCATGGACTGTCAGAAAAACAAACACATCTTTCTTGGAAAAAGTGCAGCCTGAAGGCATCTTAGAAGCCATAATTCTGAGACTACATCTCTCATATTTCAGGTATGTTATTCAGAACAACTGGTCCCTGGAGAAGTTTTACCCAGGAATGGTAACCTGGAGGGTCATCAAACAAGAGGAAGACCGTAATGAGATGGATTGATACAGTGGCAGCAGCAATGGGCTCAAACGTACTAACAGTTCTGAGGATGGTGCAGAACTGGGCAATGTTTAGTTCTATTGTTTCAGGGGTGCTATGATTGGGCGTTGACTCTATGGCACCTATGTAATACATAAATAATTTATCAAAAGATATTGTTTTATTCCTTTGTGCAAATTGAAATGTTATCAATATGTTCCCTCAAAATTATGTAATATAGACTGTATAATAGGAACC